AAATTGGCCGAATTTGGTGCGTTGGCGCCACATTAAACTCGATTTTTCTGTTTTTTACGGGCGCGTGTAGCGCCTCCAGAAGATATACCATTTTATGCAGAAATTCCGCGCGCATCTTTTAACATTAGTGGCTAAGCGCTCTGGGGACTCCGTAAAACGACTAATTCCGCAAAAATGTTTGCACTACGCGGTATACCTATGTTCCTGCCATTTTCAAGTGTTGCAATGTATTAGAGAAACTGATCCCCGTCCCAAACTATGGTTTGTCGCAAAATCTCAGTAAAATCGGTTCAGTAGTTTTCGAGATAATTTTTCGGTGTCGGCGACTTTGAGGCCCATTTTAACCCCAAAATGGGGTAAACCCTTTAAACTTTAAAAATCATCCCACCCTACTAATTCGACTATGCTCTTTCAGATGACGTCGAAAAACCAGGGTCGAAAAACTGTGCTAAGCCTTGTTCGGGTCTCCCGTAAACGGCGCCTCTAAACACCAGAGTCCCACGATCCCCCTCAGGACCAAAAAGAAATGCAGATGAGCTGAGTTTCAGATTCAGAAAACAGAAAGTTTGATAAATATGGTGCCCCCTGAATAACAGGCTTAGGCAACATGTGCTAAATCGAATCTGAAACCCCTCGAAAAAGCGTTGTTTTCCGCTGGGCGCCTAATTCGCCCATTGGCCCGGCGCCCAAATAACAAATGGTTTTGCGGTTTTTTGCTGACTCAATCTCACATCACTTGGGCCCCGCGCGGTAATTTTGCCGCCTGGACCATTTTTGGGTTCTCGAACCGTTATGCTGGGGGCCAATTTTCCCAGCAATTCCGTACGGCCTTATAAACGGAATCTGATCCATTTTTATAGTATTTTACATTGTTTTTCTGCAATAAAAATTTATAAAATAATTATAAAAATTTTCGGAATATTTTTTACTTTGTTAAAAAATTCATGAAAAATGGCCGATAAAGGTCGAAATCTTGGCATTTTCAAAACATTTTTTATGAATTTCTTTCAATAATATTAAATACTTTGAATTAATTAAAAACTACTAAACTACTAATTTTACTACTTAAATTTAATTACAATACTTTAATTTTATTTCTATTAAAAATTACTTTATTTACTTAATTAAGTTATTTAACTTTTAATTAAAAACTACTAGAAACACTATAAAAATGCATTATCTAGTCTCGATAGGTGGAAACACCAAAAGGGATTTCCCCCTGCTGCTAACCCCCCCCCCTAACAGCCCAGAACCCATTTTTCTGGGCTGGTTAGTTGAGGGTCCTGGCTGGAAATTGGCTCTCAGACAGACAAATGAAAATAATTGAAAAATGACTGTAAATAGTAATTGACAGTGTTAATAGTTATTCCCCTACCGCCCAGATATCCACGCCATCCCGTGTACCTTATAGGCAATTCGGTGAAATTGAATTGCGCCCTTTTAAGCGCCCCCCTAGCAATCCCCAAGAAATATGGTATTAGATGGGCTTTTCCCCCTCCGGGCCCGGACAAATTGCGCATATAAGAGATTGGCGAGGTTGGCGTTTCCGCCCATTTTCCGGGTGACAGATCGGCGCTGATGTCATGGTTTCGTTTTTTGTTGTGCGTCATTTTTTGAATTTCGAAGGGTTGAAGCGGTTATAAGAAGCGTTAAAGGGATGCCGACGGCATAGTCAATCGGTTACGCGCGGAAAAGAAAATGTCTCTGCGCCTCTCCCTGGGCGCGCTCTTTCCCCTGTTGGCTACTTGCCAATTTGTTGATGAGGGGGGATCGACACATGCCGTCGGCAGCCCTTTAAGGTGGCTAGGATACCTCGAAACCTCCCCCTGATTTTTGCTAGGCGTAGGCGACTAAAAACAAAGCAAAATGTCTTCGTTTAGGCTTAGGCTTAGGTTTGGGTTTAGGCTTACGATTAGGCTTAGGATTAGGCCTGGCTTAAGCTTAGGCTTTGACCAGGCTTAGGCTTACGTTTGGTCAGGCTTAGTCTTAGGCTTAAGTTTAGGCTGAGACTGAGACTTAGGATGCCAGGCTTCGGCTTCTGGTTTCGGCCTAGGCTTCGACCAGGCTTGCCTGAGGCTTAGGCTTAGGCTTTGCTTGGGCTTCCTGTTAGGTTAGGCTCTGGCCAGGCTTAAGCTCAGGCCTAGGCTTAGGCAAGGCTTACAGGTTGGGCTTCGGCTAAGCTTAGGCTGGGCTTAGGCCTAGGCTTGGGCATGAAGTCACTTGAAATTATGTTATGTTAAGTTATTAAGTTATGCAAGAGAATTTTTATTTGTTGGGAAAATTCGGAAATCCCTACCAGATGAAGAACCGTTTGTTTTTTAGTTCAGAAGCTTGGAACTGATGTTTGGAAGCTTTTAGAAGCTTTTGAAGCTTCTAAGACGACTCTCAAAGCCAGAAAATGATTTTTGACCCGACTCGTCACCCAGTCCACCCGCCCTGGAAAATGTCTCATAAGGGGCCAAATTTTTATTGCCATCGGCCCCAAAAAAAGCAGAATGCCCTCCCCGACAATGCATGTGACATGAGCGGACGGCTTCTCCTTGTGCCCATCACCCAGCACAGAGACACGGGAGGGAAGGGCACATTTTATCGTCTCATGGCGTGTGCCCGGCCATTCGCTTCGGCCGATCCGCCGAGCTCATATTTCGAGCTGCTGCCCTTTCCGGTTGCTCGCAATTTTGCCAATTTTATGGGATCTTTGGAACGCGGGCGTAGCATTTTTTGATGGTGTAATTTTTGCAGGATGATGTTATTTTTGGGTTTTTGGACTCCGCGCGCAACTTTCTGACGTGGTTATGGGTTTCTGGGTCAAAAAGTTCGGTATAAAAGTAGGTTCTGACTTTGAAAGAGCACCAGAAGGAACTTAAGCTAGCCTAAGCCTACGCCTAAGCCTACGTCCAGAGTACGTTACTTTACTAATGACCGATTCCGGCGTGTACTGTAGCTGTAATTTTACAGTACCTTACAAAATCCGGCATCTCGTGTACACTTACCTCTACGATACTTTCTTATATCCTATCCAAGAAGAGTACGTAACACTACTAATGACGTAATTCTAGGGGCCGGAATTCTAGGTTCTAGAACCCTAAGCCTAGGCCTAAGCTTAGGCATATCCTTAGCCTAAGCATATCCTAAGCCTACGGCCCAGCCTAGGCCTCGGCCGAAGCCTAACCCTGAGCCTGAGCATCGGCTTCAGCCTAAGCTTAAGCCTAAGCCCAAGTCCGAGCCTAAGCCTAAGCTTGATGGTGCTCCTTGTTAGCTAACCTTCTGCGCGATTTTCTGAATTTTTATGCTTTTCTGAACCCATTTCCCCTTCCAAAAACACCCGTTCCCGCTAAACAAAGCACTTCCGGCAATTTTTCATAGCGTCTGGGCCCATTTTTTCACCCCCGATTATTAGATCCTTGTTTCCTCTCCTCTATCCACGGAACAAAATGACGATTTCAACGCCGATGTGCTCCAAGGCGGGGGCGCCAATTCCGGAATTTCGGCGAAAATAGGGGGCGCGCGCGTGCGCATATTTTGCGGCTGGCCGGCGCCAAAATATTTCACACATGGAAATTGCACCTCCGTCCCGATCTTGGCGTCGTCGCCTGGGCTGTGTTTTTGGAATTTCTGGGCGCGGTGCCCAGAAATTTTCGCGGGTATAAAAGGGAGGGAGCAACGGAGCATTTCGGAACCGAGGTGTTCTAGCGTTTTGGGGATTGCCACGTAGCTGAGGAATTCGCGCAGGAGATTACTTGTCGGGCTAAGCCTAAGCTAAGCCTCAACAAGCTTAGCTTGTTGAGGCCTAGCTACATCCCCAATGGTCTCTGCTAGCTGCCTACGATAGCTGGGGATACGCTTCGGAACTTCCTAGAATGTGTGTTACCTTGTCTTCGTCATTAGGTGTATCTCGTGAGCTTTGGCTTAGGCTTAGCTTAGGGTTCGGCTTAGGCTCAGGCTTGGGATTAGGCTTAAGCTTAGGCTTGGCTTCGCGCAGGCTTAGGCTTTACTTAGGCTTGACTTAGGCTTGGCCTTAGGCATATACATCGGTTTCGCCTTGGGCTTAGGCTTAGGCTTAGGCTTAGACTTAGGCTTAGGCTTAGGCTTAGGCTTAGGCTTACGGCTTCGGCATCTTCAGTCGGTACGGTAATCCTCGTGCTTAACAGTTTCCCAAAATACCTCCACTATCCTGCCATCCACAGTCCGCCTCATTGTTTTTCTCTCCCCAACACCCGAAATGATGATTTTTGTTTGTCCCCCCTTCGGGAAAAGTCCGAACAGTCCGTTACGTCCCGCTCCTCTTTACTGTTTGACCATCCTCCGTCCAAAAGTTTGTCTATTTGTGGTCTCTTTCCCCGGGGTTCAGTTCAGCCCCCACCTCACTTGGTTGCTAAATCGAGCCCGGGTTCCATTCCGTTTTTCCGGAATTTCGGTTAGGTCCCTCGGCCACATTTCTTGTTATCGCGATTCCCCTGAACGGCCCCCAGCTTCTCCCTTTTACCCCATCACCAGCTCATTTCGGCTACATTTTTCGGGGGGTTTTCGCGGGGCTGGCCGGGTGTGTGCTGGGGGCTTGATTACGGTAGTCTGACGTGTGTCAATGTGGTTGCGCCTCGGAATGAGGTATTTCCTTGTGAATTGGGTTATTTATTGGACGTTTTATGATTTGTTTAGCTCGGTTTCTCGCTCTCTCTTCCTCGCCCTCTCTCTCTCTTTCTCTCGCTCTCTCTCTCTCGGTCTCTCTCGGTCTTTCTCTCTGTCTCTTGCGCGCTCTCGTGCTCTCTCTCTCTCTCTCTCTCTCTTTCTCTCTCTCTCTCGGTCTCTCTCGGTCTTTCTCTCTGTCTCTCTCTCTGTCTCTCCCTCTCTCTCACTCTCGCTCTCTCTCTCTCTCTCCTTCTCCCTCTTTCTCGCTTTCTCCATCTCGCTATCACTTTCTCTCGTTCTCTCTCGTTCTCTCTCTAGCTCTAGCTGTCTCTCGCTCTCTGGCATGCTCTCTCTCATCCCTCTCTTCCAGGATGCTGCTGAGGATAGTCCCCTTCCTTTTCCTGTCCGCCCTCACCATCGCCGAGGAGGTCGAATATTCAGCCGGCAGCTACGATCCGCTTGGGGCCCATGGCGGCATTTTCCGGTGCGATTCTCGAAACGTTTTTTGAATCTTAAGCTTCAGGGCACTCCCGTGGACAGAGAAGGAGCTGCGGCACATTAGTGCCCTGCACGCCACCGCCGAGTATCATAGGTTGCTGCCGATAATCAAGGTGAGCACGAACGCGAAGGCAGGCTAGCAGCTATTATTGAGGAAGAGTAGGGCAGGCTAGCAGAGATCATTGAGCAGACCTTCAGCTATCAAACCCATTATTTCCAGGAAAAGCTCCTTGACTACGGTAGCGAGCTGGATCCACACACCCGCCGCCAAATCGAAAACTTTTTGGTGCAGAAACGCCCGCCCAAGGTTTTCCAGGAGTTGCTCTCTGATGATGAACGGCATCAGGTGCGTTTTCCATGCCTTTACGAGCCCTTTAAGAAGTCTTAAACTACCGTAAGACCTCCCCAAAATTGATCGCTGGCTTGTTTTTCCACCCTGGCCGGCTTCCAGGCCCGCGCCTCCAAAAACGCGTCGTTCCCCGCGCTTGGAGATAAGCGGCCTGAACCTGGGTTCTGCGCGTGCGTGTCTCACTGTTTGTTTCGCACTTCTGAGCCGAAAAAAAATGGCGGCTGGGGCGCATGCTCCAAAGGGCACCACAGAACGGCTTGGGTTTTGAGCGGGTTGTTTTGCAGAGAGGTGGGGAGAGCCTGGCCCGGGTCCAGGTTTTGGTCAACAAACGGTTCGCGGGTTGGGATCAACATTGGATCAGGTTGTGTAGGATAGGGTGGGGGAGGAACGGATAAGCCTACGCCTAACCGAAGCCTAAGCCCAAACTATAGCTCAAGCTTAAGCAAAGCCTAAGCCTAAGCTTAAGGGAAAGCCATGCTTAAGCCAAAACCTAAGCCTCTGTCTAAACGAAACCTAAGCGCAGACCAAGCTAAATCGAAGCGAAACCCTAGAAAAGACTAAGTCAAAGTTATGCCTAAGCTTTGGCCCAAGAGTAAGCCTAACGAAGCCTAGACGAAGTCGAACCGAAGCCAAAGCCTACGACCAAACCTAGCAAAACCTGAGCCTAAACCAAGCCCAAGCCTAAGCCTAAGCATGTGCCTGAGGGAAGGCCAAGCAAAGACTAAGTGAAAGCTGTGCATAAGCCCAAGCCTAAGCCTAAGCCTAAGCCTAAGCCTAAGCGGAACCTAAGCGAAGCCTTAATCTAGGCATTAGCCCTAAGCTACGCCTAAGCAGAATCGATCCCAAACCCCAAATTCTGCTAATTTTTTTGCATAGCTCCCGCTCCCTCTGACTGGTCATCCCCATCCTCCCCTTCCTGCTAGTGATGCCCAGAGCAATTTTCCGGAAAACATGGCACGCGCCCCCCCATTAACCCTGTTATCTCCAGCAGAATCTGCTATCCCCCGGGCTCGGGCCAGGTGGTCCGATTCGAGGGCGGCAAAACAGGGGGAAGCCGCCCGGTGGGGGGACGATAAGCTTTAGGGGGACACCCGTCTGCATACCTGTTTACAGATGATTTGAACAGGGAAGAAGGGGGGTGTTAGCGCTCCGTTCTAGCCCGAAAAATCGGTGCTGGACCGTTAGCGGGGGGGGGCGGATTTTAGCGGGGTGAGAAAATAACTTTTTGTTTTTCCAGCTATATACCTATTTGTTGACGATATATTATGTATTTTTATAGAGTTTTTAGTAGTTTTTGATTACTAGAAAGTTCAAAAATATTTTGAAAAATTTTGAAAATGTGAAAATGTAACTTTTTGTCGTTTTTCATAGATTTTTGACCAAAAATCTAGAATTGTTGATAATTGTATTGTTTTTTAAGACTAAAATGATGTAAAATGCTAGAAAAATGGTGTATATTTTTTATAGGGCCGTAGAGGAGCAGGGAAAAATTTCGTTCCCCCTCTAAAAAGTCCCCCCCCCGCTAACAGTCCAGTACCGAAAAATCTTCAAAAATCCTGCAAAATCAAATATCATGTTTGTATCTTTGTATTTTCAGATCCGAAAATTCCACCAGTTCGAAGACGTCGACAGCGCGCTCGCCGTCGTCCGCGCCGGACTCGAGCGGTTGCCGGAGGACAAGCTGAAGAAGGCGCTCGACTACCTACAAGTCCCCAACACCCCGGGAGCCTCCCAGCAGATGTGATAGACTACGCACCACTACGCCACACTACGCCACGCTACGCCACGCTACGGCAACTCCAGACTCACCACACCGTTTCACACATAATTATCGATCGCTTTAAGGAGAGCTTATAGCTTCTCTCTCTCTATCTCTCTCTCTCTCACTCTCGCTCTCTCTCTCTCTCTCTCGCTCTCTCTCTATTTCTCTCGCCCTCCACATTCCGCTGTATGTACGCATCCATCCAATGAACACCCTCCCTCCCCCCAAATCCGCTTCCAGGACTTTTTGCAGTTCAAGAGTGCAACGCCATATCAACGCAATTTTTTGTAATTGTCATTTTTCAGGTGGAACCAGGGTTTAAGCTTAAGTCTATGCCTAAGCCGCACCTAAACCTAAGCCAAGCTTAAGCCCAAGCCCAAGCCTAAGCCTAAGCCGAAGCCTAAGCCCAACCACCTCATTTATCCCGAAAAAACCACCAAAAACATATATTCTAGTCCCCCTCCTCTCCCGCTTCGAGACCCCGGTGTGTGCCTCCCGAAATTATCGATTTTTGCGCTGACTTCTGATTTCCTGATTTCCTCGATTTCCGCGACCATTCACCTGTGTACATATCACCCTCCACAAACGCCCTCCCCCTGTCTCTTTAAAGATCTCATTCCCGCTAAGACATTACCTGTTTTCCCGGTTTTTCTCTCCATTTTCCCGAATACTTGTGAACACCATCACCGGCGCCGCGAGATAAAGGAGTTGTTGTTGCAGAAAAGACGACGAGAAAATGCAGATCATCAGACATGAGCGAAGTCCTAGCCTAACCTAAAAGCTAAGCTTTAGCCTAGCCTAACCTAAGCTTAACCTTGAGCTTAAGCCCAAGCCTAAGCCTTAGATTAAACCTAGGCCCAAGCCTAAGCTCAACCCTAGGTCTACGACTAAACCGAGGTCGGAGCCGAAGCTAACCTAAATCGAAGCTCAAGCCTGAGCTAAGCCTAGGCCCAAGCTGGTTTTTGCACAGACAAATATCAAAATCATTTATTGAAACCACAACACCACACACGCAAAGTATCGATCGATATCCGTCGCATCTTCGATTAATTTAAGGTTTAAAGGGCCGTTGAAGTCGCGGCGAGGGCGGAGCTTCAGGCGAGCTCTCTTGTTGGTGCCTGAGATCGCGGTGGCCCCTGGAACAAAAAAGAGCTTTGTTGGCATTCTAAAGGTAAATACGCTAACCACGTCTTCGTTCGGCCTTTGAAACCAAGAAGAAGCGAGCTAGCAGAGACTCTTTGCGGGAAAAACGCGAAAACGATCAAAAGTGTCTTACGCCTCTTTGCTGTCTCCCTGTTGCTGATGTCTTTAAGGACTCGAAGCCACAGATCCTTCAGCTCGCATCTGAACGCAGAAAACAGTTGCTATCTCGCTCGTTTCCTCTCGCTCCCTGTCTCTCTTTCTCCCTCTCAGCTCTCTCTCGCTCTGCTTTCTCTCCGTCTCTCTCTCTCTCTCTCACCTCACCTCAACTTGCTGATGTCGCTGCGAATCTGGCACTGCTCGGTGCGCAGCTCGGCCATGCCCACCAGGACTGGAAATTAGGAAAATTGGGATGAATTTTAAGCTTCATGATTTTTTATGATGAAGAAAGTTATCCTGATACACCGACTCAGTCTCGAGGTACGTCTTCAGCTCGACGGCGTCCATCAACCGAAAGCCGGTGAGAAGCGATAGATGGATGATTTTGAGAAAAACAAGCATCAGAAATATCCCACAATAATTCAAATTTCTGAAATGTAAATTATGGAATGGATGGGGGATTTCCGGAGGGTAGAATCAGTCCCTAGCTTTTCGAATCTGATATGAGGTACTGTACTGCGTCAATTACGGGAATATGACAAGCTAGCGTGCTACGATAATTACGGGGTTACGGTAATACGAGCCCTACGGAGCTACGCTACGCTACGGCACTGCGATGCTTACGAGGCAACCCGTTCGCTACGGTACTTACGATACCGGGCTATCACACGACTAATGTACTGTCGTCCGCTAAGGTAATACGATGCTTTCGAGGCGACGGTTCGCTACGGTAATATGATACTGACTGGACTAGGGTTCGCCACTATACTACGCTACTTCTGGGGCTGCAGTACGCTAGAGTAATACGAGGCCTCCGCGTGCTACGTTACTAGAATACGTAGATTACTACGTGGACTGTACTGTCGCACGCCACGGCTCTACGCTACTTTCGGGGTAGGTACGCTACGCTAATACGGTACTCGCAAGATTAATGTACTACGAGATTGACAGGGCTACGCTTCGCTACGGTAATACGGTACTGATCGGTAAGGGTACGTGTGAGTATCAAGCTACTTACTGTACTATCGTACGCTACGGCATTACGATACTCGGTGGGGCTACGGTACCCTACGGTAATACGATACCTACGGGATTACGGTAATCCTATGTACGAGGCTACGGATTGTTACGTGCACCGATCGTAAAATCGACGGACCAAGCCCATCTCTTGCAGAAGTTCGAGCTGAGCACGAATCCGTTTTGAGATTTTTCGTATTTAGGATACGTCCATTCCGTCTGTAACCTAGTTTCGCATCGTACTCAGGTTTACGGTAGTCACCTATTCCATTTCTTCACCTTTAACATGCGTCAGAGCTCTGACTCACTCCTCACTTTCGATCGTCAAACATTTTGAAACGGCCCCTCTATTCCTAGTCCCGTAATTTGTGGCCTCGTGGTAATCATTGGGGCCCCCTCCAAAAATGGCGGGTCCCACAGCGGCCGGCGCTGTGGGAATAACTTCCAAAAAATGCCCAAAAATTGTTGTCAACCCCTCCGGGGCGGTAATTTCCGATAATTTCCCGTTTGCGCAAAGAAAACGGGGCAGCGGGAACCCCGTAATCAAATCATTTTTGAGGGGAATGTTGGCCGCTGGACCCGGGGTGGGGATTGAAGAATTGTCATTTCTGCCCCCCATTGACGTCTTTTGAAGGATGCCGCTGACCCTGGAGGAGTTATTTTGGGATTATTGAAATCTTATAAGGGTTAGGAAAAGTCGGCCGTGCGTTGCGAGTGGCTACAGTATGCCTTGGATGCGAGTTTGCAGGTTTTAGGGGGTTTGAAAACCCTACCGTAATCCTTCCGGTAATCAAAAAGCGCTAAATTGAGCCTAGATTTTTCTAGAATCTTTCCCAAATAATCTCTGCTAGCTCGCGATATAAGTAAGTCTGGTGGCTTTTGTTATTAATTAATTATTAATTTAAAAATTTCAGCAACTTCAAAAATTTTTTACACTTTTAAAAAACTTAAAATTTTATGAATTTTGAAACCGCCTCTAAGTATATCCTAGCTAACAAAATTCGAAAGCTTCGAAAGCGGAGTCCGGAATGATCTCTGCTAGCTTGCCATCCACGCGCAAAAATTCTCAAATCATCTCTGCTAACTAGCGACCTAGGCCACCAGAAATTCTCAGACGTTCTCTGCTAGCTTGCCACTTGGGCCGTCACAACATTCTCAAATGAGCTCTGCTAGCTGATTTCCGGTCACTTCGCCTAAACCCGTTTCGCCTAAACCCATATCGCCTAAAACCCGTTTCGCCTAAAACCCATTTAGCCTAAAGCCCATATCGCCTAAAACCCGTTTCGCCTAAACCCATTTCGCCTAAATTATTGACCGTTTGCACTGCTGCATTTTTGACCAAAAAATCACCATTTTTCGAAATACTTGTAAGTGTTTTAGGATTTTCTAAACATAATTTTGCAAATTTCTTGTCAAAAACCACGTTATGAAGCCAATTACATAACTTTTAATGAAGAATTTCAAGGAGTCTCTTTAAAATCTTACGAAACTATTATAAAGCTTTCGAAAATTGCCGACTTTTTGGTCAAAAATTTATATATGAAAACGACCAAAATTTAGGCGAAATGGGTTTAGGCGAAACGGATTTTAGGCGATATGGGCTTTAGGCGAAATGGGATTTAGGCGAAGTGGGCTTTAGGCGAAATGGGTTTTAGGCGAACGGGTTTTAGGCGATATGGGTTTAGGCGAAGCGGGTTTAGGCGAAACGGATTTAGGCGAACTGGCGGTCACCCCTGCTAGCTTGCCACCTAGACGATTAAGCATTTTGAAAGGATCTCTGCTAGCCTCTACCTCCCTTTTCAAAAAATTGCTAAACGACCTCTGCGAGCTCCCGCTTTTTGACTCTTCATGGTCTTCTTCAAAATTACAGTATCTTTCTCTTCCGGCTTCCTTTACCCTCCAATTTCAGGCCGAAACTTGGGCGAAACGTAGGCAACAATGGATTACTACGAGTTCCTGACCTATCAGATCTTCTACGACACGCAGTTGTCTCGACTGGACCCGAAGACTGTAATGGGGCAGGTGGTCGGCACGAATTCCGTGTATATCCAGAATTACAGCGGATATATTTATTCAAGTTTGTGTCGAATATAGGAGCCCTGAAAATGATGTTTAGACTGGACAACTGAAATCATATACCTGGTTGTTGAGTCGATTATCGGGTTACTGTACGTGATTTTTGTGTGGGGAGCAGGTGAGGAGGAGTAAACCTGAGACTAGGCTAGTAAACCAGTAAAAGTAAACCTGACTAGTAAACCTAAGCCTAAGCTAAGCCTAAACCTAAGCCAAGCCTAAGCCAAACCTAAGCCTAACTCTAAGTCTAAGTCTAGGCCTAAGCCTCAGCCTAGGCCTAGACTAAGCTAAGCGAAGCCTAGACGAAATCTAAGCCTAAGCCTAAGCTCAAGCCTAAGCAAAAGCTTAGCATAAGCCGAAGCCTAAGCCAAGCCTAGGTCTAAGCCAAGCCTCAGCAAAGCCGAAACGAAAACCATGCCCAACCCTAATCCTGCTTAAACCAAGCCTAAACTGAAGTCTAGGCCGAAGTCAAACCTAAGCCTAAGCCTAAGCGCAGAGCTAAACCTAAGCCTAAGTTTAAGCATGAGCCCACGCCGAAGCCTAAGCCTATTTAGACGCTAGCCAAGCCTCCTACACCGCTCCCGTCGCGA